CTCACTTGGTAGCCCAGGCTGGCCTCGAACTCACAGAGATCCGCCTGCCTCTGCCTCCCGAGTGCTGGGATTAAAGGCGTGCGCCACCACCGCCCGGCCCGAGGTACAAATTCTTATCCCTCCTTAGGAGCTTGTCACTCACAGGCTACTACCAAAGAGGACACTAACATCCTCCATTGTCTTAGTCCATGTGCCACACTTGTCAGGACCCCTCCCATAAGGGGACCTCATACATGCCTCCCATGTGCTCAAATCAGACCATGAGCCATGTCATGGGGTGGCGATCAGCTCTGTCTTCATGCTCTCCCTAAAAAAGGGGAAATGCTAGCTTGTCAATTCACAGTCTGTCTTCCAGTCTGAAGATCTCCCCAGCTCCCCTGTCCTCTGCTAGGACGGACCTACAGCATGGCACGTGAGCCCAGAAGCCTCTGCCCATTGTGATGCGACCAGGGTTGGGGTAGAGAAAAGAGTTAGGGCCGACCTGAACCAATGCAGAGAGGCAGGGAAGGCCGGGAGTGAGTACCAGCCTGGATGACCCAGAGATCCAGACATCAGCTCTGTGTGGGGACCTTCGGGGCACCTGACCCTCACCCTCTCCTCTCACGATCACTGTTTCCTTATTTGTGTATGGAAGATGCTCGATGCCATGCTCTCCAAGATCCCTCCCTTGCTCGCTCTTTCTGCTCCCTCTCCCTCCTCTTAATCCTCATGTGTGAACTTGGGCACCGAGGTTTCCAGAGGCCACAGTTAAGTCCTTCTCAGGCACAGACTGATCTTATGGTATACTTTGTGCTGTGTCTACAGGCTAAAGTGGACAGCCTGACTCTTCCAACAAGAACTAGTCCCTCCCAGAGCACTGTGGTTCCAAAGATGCCATCATCAAACCTCACAGTGCCCAGGCCTACCACCACTGGCCTACCGAATGTCCAGGGCAGTCATGGTAAGTGCATGCAATCAGACACCGTACACATAGATCACAGACCAAGCAGCCTCAAGCTAGCACCCGGCAGTTCTAAAGTAGAGTATGGCGAGGGCTAAGGCCAAGGGGTCCTGGGTCTGGATTAGCCTCTGCCAGCAGGAAAAGAAGGGCAGGTTGCCATGGTAAAAAAAAAAAAAAAAAAAAAAAAAAAAAAAAAAAAAAGAGCAAGCACCACCACCATAAAGGGGAGTGGCTGGCTGTCCCTGATACTTTTGCATAAATATTATGCACAAATTGAGTGGGATGCAAAGCAAGCAAGAACTCCTACACCCTATCAGAGCCACCCTACCTTAATTAACAGCATCACTTGGGGAGCAGTTTGAGTGGTAATTAGATTAGAGATGATTAAAAGCCTGGAAAGGAGAATAAATAACGGTGGCTGTCGCTTGGCTTGGGAGTAAACGAAGCGGCAATACCGACTTCAGCATCGGATTCACCTTGGTTAGCCGCCTTCCCCCAGTGCCTTCCTGGGGACTGGGGCGCGGCATCCCTGCCTGCTGGGCTTCGAGAACTGGGACACAGGAGGAACACAGCTTATTCTGGACTCGCTGGCATTTGGTGTCGTGTTCTCCTCTCGGATGCATGCCAGCGTGGACCCGGGGTACTGAGATCAGCTGAGGCGTTCCATGGGGCGTCCACCAACTCTCAGAGACTTGAAGAGGCCGTGAAGGGTCTCAGCTGGACCTGCCTTTCTCAGCCTTGGGAGAAGGGCACAGGACCTCTGTCCCCCGCCCCTGCTGGCCCCTCCTGCTGCTTCATCTCTGGACTTTGAACTTTCTGCCAGTGCCTTTTGGATGCAAGCCTCCCTCTCAGTCATCTCTGTGAGTTGTGGCAGCAGGTGGCACTAATGTTGTTCAGCTGTCTGAATTTCTCGACCACTCTGTGCAGAGAGAGCACCAGGGGCAGAGAACAGGGGAGGGATGTTTCCCACTGGAAAAGCAGGACGCTGATGACACATCCCAAGAGGAAATGGATGCCAGGCAGCCACTGTCTACTCCACCCGTGGCTCCGCTGTGCTTCCTGGAGCCACATACAACATGACCAATTCCTCTTCCTAAGGCAGAGGCAGCAGCCATTGGCTATTCCATATAATTCTGGCTTCTTTCTCCCATCTGCATCGTACCTTTTAGCACTAAAGGTCCTCTAGAAAAGAGACAGACAGAGGCCCTAGAATAGCCACATCGCCTCAGGAGAACCTACAGAGGATCAGGGTCTGATGAAAACACCGATGGGACTTGCCCTGGGTGGTAGTGAGGTGAGTCCTCTTACAGGCCAGTGCTGAGTGACAGGCTGAGATCAACGATGAGTATTGTCCGGGTGCATTGTGCTGGGTGGTTCTAAGCAAACACCCATAAGTAATCTTAAAAGCCACAGATGCCCATAGCTTGGGCATCCACGGAAGCAAAAGCCACTGGCCACGGAGGCTGAAGGGAGTCTGACCAGAGATGTCCCTCTGTTCTGTCTTCTGCCTGGCCAGGCCTGCCTACCTGCCTGGTCTGCGTGTGCCTTGGCTCTTCCGTATACTGTGACGACGCAGACCTCGAGAACATTCCTCCCCTTCCCCGGATGACCACCTACCTGTATGCTCGCTTCAACCACATCAGCCACATCCAGGCCGGAGACTTCAAAGGGCTGAGTGAGTTCTGCTTCGGGAAAAGGCGATGGTAGGGCAGAGGGGACTGCCAGGACACAGACGTGAGCTCACAGGCTGCCAAAGGGACAGACGCCCCAATCCTTCTAAATCCTTAAGAGTCTAAAGTGGTGGCAGTAGCCAGTTCTTCTCATGAAGGATCTGGGCCATGGGAACGGAAGGGATGCTCAAGGCAACATTTCCAGAATGTTCCAGAAACTGCCCCTGTTGGGCTCTGGCCTAGCCCCCTCCCCCCCTTAAACCTCCCCTCTCTGTGGTCCTGATGCTATTCAAAGGGCTGTTTGCTATTTCTTTGTTCTGCTACTTCATGCCATATTCCCTGCTGGAGAGGGGAGGCCTGGGCTTGCCTCCAGCTCCTGCCTTGCATCACTGGTAGCCTTCCGGGTCCTCAGTGTCTTCTGTGTAAACTGAGTTGGGGGGGGGGGATGAATGCAGGGATTCCTGAACTTGTTGTGGGGGTGGGGCCCTTTTAAAGTAGGTAACTACCACAGAACCTAAGCTCTGGGGAAGGCTGTTGAGGAATGTCATGGTTTTTGAAGGAGAGCTGATATAGCCTTGTTGCTTGGGGTTTAGACCTGATGCAGGAGGTGAGCTAGTTAGAGCTTGCTTGAGGAGGATGGAGCAAGGCACGCAGGGCACGCAGGGCAAGCATGTCCCACAGGGGGGCTCCCCAGAGACGCGCGTGTTCCAGGCTCCCCCTTTGTTCTCTCCCAACATCCTTCAGCAAAGCTGAAAAGGATTGACCTCTCTAGCAACTCCATCTCCTCCATCCACAACGACGCCTTCCGCCTGCTGCCCGCCCTCCAGGATCTGATCCTCCCTGAGAACCAGCTGGCGGCTCTGCCTGTGCTGCCCAGTGGCCTCGAGTTCCTGGACGTCCGCCTGAACAGGCTGCAGAGCTCAGGGATACAGCCTGAGGCCTTCGTGGTGAGTCAGGGCCTCAGTCTTCCACACAGCACCCACCCTACCCGTGCACCCTGACCTCACAGCAATTCATGCTCAAGCCTGATCTGGGGCCTCGGAATCAAGTCCTATGTTTCCCCCTTTTCCTATTTATGGCTTACTAAACATTCTTCTTCAGAAAAGGGTGCTTTACATCGTGCCATCATGGTCGCCTCTGTAGCCTGAGTGAATGGGAAACATGGTGCCGTCAGGCCTCAGGATCCTGCTAGAGGGGAAAGAACACAGGAAGCCAATACCAGCAACTCTCGCATGCCTCTGTGAGGATACCACTGTAGTGTGGGCCTTTGTCTACGCATCTGCTCCATTCACTCTCTTTGTATCATACCTGCTTACCCCAGGCCTGCTCACCCCAGACCTGCTCACTCCAGACCTGCTCACCCCAGACCTGCTCACCCCAGACATGCTCACCCCAGACATGCTCACCCCAGACCTGCTCACCCCAGACCTGCTCACCCCAGACATGCTCACCCCAGACATGCTAACCCCAGACCTGCTCATCCCAGACATGCTCACCCCAGCATGCTCACCCAAGACCTGCTCACCCCAGCATGCTCACCCCAGCATGCTCACCCAAGACCTGCTCACCCCAGCATGCTCACCCCAGACTGCTCACCCCAGACCTGCTTACCCCAGACCTCCTCACCCCAGACTGCTCACCCCAGGCCTGCTCACCCCAGACATGCTCACCCCAGACATGCTCACCCCAGGCCTGCTCACCCCAGACCTGCTCACCCCAGGCCTGCTCACCCCAGACATGCTCACCCCAGACATGCTCACCCCAGACATGCTCACCCCAGACTGTTCACCTCAGACTGCTCACCCCAGACTGCTCACCCCAGACCTGCTCACCCATTCTGCCTTTGAAAACTCCAGTTTGTCTGTGGTGCTGACCCTGACTCTAACTCCTACATATCATCCTAATGGTTTTGAAATCTTCCACCAAGTGGCTGGTCACTGTCTCTCTATGGTCAGATTCTCGAGACACAATCTGACGGGTTACTGGCCAGATTTGATGGAAAGAGTTAAGGTATTTGACACAAATATGATCCTGTGGGGCTGCCCAAGGAACAGGCTGGCAAGAGCCCAGAATGCCTTCCACTGAGACAAGGAGAGAGTCACAAGACTGACACCTCCCAGCAGGCTGACTGCAGAACTGGGAAGGGCTTTAAAGACCGGTTGCTCATGGGCAGCCTCTCTGTCTCTCTCGAGCACAGTCCAACCACAAGACAACATTTCTATGAGTTCTGGACTACAGGCACAGCGGGGGCCCCCTAAGATTGAGTCATCTAGTAACTTCATAGCCCTCTTGGTTTGTGTAAGTGATTTCACAATGACACATTTCTCAGAACGCATCCCTGTCCTTAAGCAATGCTCGGTTGTGGAAGGCTCCTTTTTGCAAATGAAGTCATATGTAGAGGCATCAAATAAAGTAAAAATGGCAGTATCCATATAGCCGTTTGCATCTATCCTATTACATATATTATGTTATGTATGACATATATTCATAGACAAGGGTCTTGTCCCCCTCCCTCAGCTCCTGAGTACTGGAAAGAACAACGGGGCATCACCATGCTCACCAAGAGCCGGGGGCTGCTCTGTGGCTACTCTTCTTCACAGACTTCTCCCCCCCCCTCCCAGTATGCAGTGTGTTGTGGGCCTCCAGAGGGTACAGAGAACAGTATCCACGCCCCTGGCGGGTGGGATGCAGACCCTGCAGACGTTAGTTTCTCAGCTGTGCAGGAAGTGCTGGGATTGTCTGTACAGGGAGGTCCCTGGCTGTTCCAGCCCTCAGAAACAGCCTGACTGCTTCCATATTAGGAGGTGCTTCTCTGCCCTCACTCAGGCCTATTTTCTTGGTCCAGAAAAGGCAGGGGCTTTGGAGCCAAAGGACCTGAGCTCATTGAGTGAGTCACCTCTGCTCTCATTCCCTCGTCTGCAGAACAAGGGTGATAATGCCCACTCGACACAGGATTGAAACAGCCTTTGCCCAGATCACGGGGTGATCCAATGCAGGTAGCGGCCGCTCCCTTGAGTGGTAGCTTATGCCGCACTGTTCTCTGAGCTCCCTGCAGGCTGATCTCTTCCCATCTGATCAGCTCTCCCCGGTTCTGTCAATGCTGTTATGTCACATGCTCCGAGTGCTGTGTGCCTCGGGTTGGGTTCTGCCACCCTGGCATCCTCCGAGCATGCTCCCCATAGCCACTCTGAGTGGAGCATTTGGGAAACTTTTCACTGGTGGCAGAGCAATTGAGACTGAGCTGAAATGTCCCCTGGTCCTTCCTTCTACCTGTTCCTGCCTTCCTCTGCTCCTCCCAGCCAGCACTAACAGCTCCTTTACGCTCCCCAGCTGCCAGCACTCAGTGATAGCAGCTTTCCTTTGCCATCCAAATGTAAGCTCCTTAAAGAGCCAGCATCCTTAGCTGGGTTTGGTGGTGCACACAGGACTCGGAAGGATGAAGTAGGAGGACCACAAGATTGAGGCCAGCCTGGGCTACATAGAGAATTCTAGGCCAGCCTGAGGTAGAGAGTAGGATTCTGGAGAGGGAGGGGAGACAGCGAGGCCCAGAGACATACAGAGAGAGACAGGCAGACAGAGACAACCCCACCCCACGAGAGGGACCAACGTGACGCTGGCCTCCTGGGGCACCTCTTCCTGGCCCTTCAGTCTCCTTCGCTTGTGTCCCGCAGGCCCTGGAGAGGCTTCAGTTTCTCTACCTGGCAGACAACCTGCTGGACTCCATCCCCGGGCCTCTGCCCCTCAGCCTGTGCTCCCTGCACCTGCAGGTGAGGCGCCTTGACAGACCAAGGGCAAAAGACAGTGAGTAGGCCGGGAGGCAGGTGGCGGGAATGCCGGGCCATGAGGACAAGCACGGTCCGTACAAAGGATGTTCCCCACTCCTTTTTAAAGCGGTTCCTTCCCTTCCACGTCAGTATTTCACCTGCTTCTGTATCCTCATTTCACCAACCTCCTGTCCCTTCTCGTCCCCTTAGGGCCTCCTGCCTGCTTCTCCCATCTCTTCTAATTTCTTCCCTCTTCTCCTGCCCTGTGTGGCCACAGCTCTACCTGCGTCTGATTCTCCAGCTGCATGGGAGGCCTTCAGTGTCTGCTGTTCCTTCCAGAATAACATGATCGAGACCATGGGAAGAGACGCCTTCTGTGACACCGGGGAACGCAGACACGAGCGCCGGCGGCTAGAAGACATCCGCCTGGACGGGAACCCCATCAATCTGAGCCTTTTCCCAGAGGCCTATTTCTGCCTGCCAAGGCTCCCTGTGGGCCGCTACACCTAGACGCCAGCGCCCCCCTCTTCCCAGGTACACTGCTCCGAGAGACTCACTGGGGGAGCACTGGCTCCCTCGCCTAAAGGCTGATCTGTAGTCCAAGTGCCAGGCAGCCTGGGAGCCGCGGTTGCAAAATTTTATAACACACACACACAGAGATAGAGACAGACAGACAGAGATAGAGAGAGAGAGAGACAGAGAAACAGAGACACAGATAGAGACAGAGAAACTGAGAGAGAGAGAGAGAGAGAGAGAGAGAGAGAGAGAGAGAGAGAGAGAACCTCCAGCCACTGAATTTGCATTTCTCCCTTCTCTTTCCTTACACCTTATGGTTCCTGACTCAGAGAACAGCCACAGCAGAGGTCTTTTCCACACTCTCCATACCTGTCTTCCCACACAGAATTCCAGGAGAGCCATGAAAAAGAAAGAGGAGGAAGAGGAGGCGGCAGAGGGACAGAGCAGGGCGTAAAAGGGAGGGTGGGAGAGGAGAAACATTCGTGTGCTGGAGCCTCGTCTTAACTGGCTGGTAGGCCGACAAGATTGATAATTACATTTTCCAGAATTTTGCAGTTCGGTTGTTAAACGCGGCCATTATGAAAAATTAAATTATATAACCTCACAGTTAAATATATTATACTGAGGACAGCCAAGACGAACACTCAAAGTTCGTCACTTCCCGGTGAGTTTACCCTATGTTGAAGGTTTTTATGTCCACAGTAGCTTCATGGTAGACATTCCAGATAATGGGGTGCTGCAGGCAATCTTCCCAGCTCTTGGGGTGACATCGTGTTGGGAGTTTGAAGCTGGCCATAATGGGAAATCTATACCATGGAAATCTATGAATGTTGTAAATCAGGTGTGTGTGTGTGTGTGTGTGTGTGTGTGAGAGAGAGAGAGAGAGAGAGAGACAGAGAGAAAGAGAGAGAGACAGAGACAGACAGAGAGACAGAGAGAGAGACAGAGAGACAGAGAGAAACAGAGAGAGACAGACACAGAGACACAGAATATGTGTCTCTGTGTGAGTGTATGTGTGAGAATTATATGTGTGTGTCTGTGTATGTCTGTGTGTCCATATATGTATGTGTATGTGTTGAGATCTAGCTGTTAAAAACTTAGCAGCTCACCACTGAGGACAACAAACTATGTTTAGAACTGGTCCTCCGTGGCCCCACACTACCCAGTGGCCGCTGAGTACAGTCTCTGTGACACAGTCCTTTGTTTCTTGCCTTTCCCAGGTTCTCCTGCTCCAGATGGAGGGAACCGCCCCCAGGGAGGGGAAACTAACCTGCAAGCCCTGTGGCTGGGGCTCCCCTCTTCCCTGGCCCTGCCTCAGCCTCCTGGTTTCTGGCCACTGATTTCCGTCCTTTCTGGTTGCTCCTGCATGTGCAGCCAGCAGAGGGCAGCCTTGTGCAAAGATAAATAAATAAATAGAGCAATTACCTCCAGACTGTGGGGCCTGGGTGGGGCCTGGGTGGGGCTCGGGGTTGCTGAGAGAATGAAAAAGAAGCTGTCCTCTGTCAACTTCTTTGAGAGAGGGAAGAAACAGAACAAATCTGCCTTTGGTTTTTGGTCGTTGTTGTTTGTTTTGTTTTTTGTTTTTGTAAGGACAGTCTTGTCATGGCCCTAAATTTGTCATCCTCCTGCCTCAGCCTCCTCACTTCTGGGATTACAAGCATGTACCACCATGCCCTGCTACCATGGTTTTTATAAGGGGTGGGGGAGGGGGTGATGGATGGCACTGGGCCGCAGATATTGCCTCCCAGGTGTTGGCTGAGGCAGGCAAGGCCTTGGCTTGCTGGGTAGGATTTCGGTGCCACGCCGATCTGCCATGTGCCTGAGACAGTGTTCCTGGAGACAAGATGGGTGGGTATGGCGACAGGAACTTCTCTTTCCTGGTGGAACTTAAGATCTAGCCCAGAGAGCTAATCATCACTCAGTCAACTGCGCTGTTCAACTCAGACGTGCTACCAAGGGAACTGAAGAATGGGACAGGAGCTGGTAAGAGGGGACACGTCTCAGTGTCTGGGAGACCTCTTTGCAGGACTAGTATTTAAGTTGAAACTGGAGATGGAGTGGGAACCAACCAAGCCATGCATTGCCAAGGTCCCTCCCGGGTGGTGTCTGAGTCTGAAGGGACAGCTGTTTATAGGGGTCCATGGGGGGAGGGGAGCCATCCATCTGCCTTCCCCCACCCCTGGGTAGCACCTCATCTGTGTGCACCACAATCCTGTGTGCAGGCATGTCAGGGTTAATTATTCCCATTCTTCAGATGAAGAACTTGAGTCCTGAAGAAGATAAATCGATTGCTCATCTCTCATGTTTACTGAAGTTTGGACCAAGACTCTTCATACTGGCTCTAGGAGGGCAAGGGGGAGTCTTGGAGATGCTGAGAGGTGTGCTTGTGTCCTGGCTGAGGCTTCTGTCTTCTCTCCTAGAGACCTAGGTCCCAGCACACCTCACCCAGGGGAGGTCTGGAGAGCAGAGGTCCAAGAGCTCCTAGAGACGCTAAAGCTCTCCCTGGTCCCCAAGGAGTCCGCTACAGCAGGTCTCCCCACCCACCCCCTTCTCTCTGCCTCCCATTGTGTGTGTTTCTGTCTCTTCTGTATGTGTTCGTATGTGCACACGTGTGGGTGGGTATGTCTATATACATGTATGTGTGGGTACTCATGAAGCTCAGAAAATGGTATCTGATATCTTCCTTAATCGTTCTCCACCGTATTGTTGAGGCAGTGTCTCTCACTGAACTTGGACCTCACCAGTTTGATTAGACTGGCTGGCCAGTGAGCCCCGGGGATATTTCTGTTACACACACACACACACACACACACACACACCACCCCAGCACCAAGAATACAGGTACATGTCCCACTGCTACACCCAGCCTTTTAAAACTGATTTGTGGCTATGGGTATTTCGTCTACATGTATGTCTGTGCACCATGTGTGAGCTCAGTGCCCATGGAGGCCAGAAAAGGCTGTCGGATTCCCTGGGACTGGAGTTACAGACAGTTGTGAGCTGCCATGTGGGTTCTGGAAATCAAACCCAAGTCCTCTTGAAGAACAGCCAGTGCTCTCCACTGCTGAGCCATCTCTCCAGCCTGAGCTGCTCCCCACCTCCCCCACCCCACAACTCCGTCTATGAGTGTTGGGATTTGAACTCAGGTCTTCAGGCTTATGCAGCAAGCCCTGGCCTGGCTGAGCCCTCTCACCCCTGGGCTTCTTTCCAACCCCCCTCTCTACCAATCCTACACCAGTCCACATCCCACATCCCCCTCCCTTTACTGTATTTGAAAAGACTTGGGTATCTTAACAACCGACGTTTCAAGATCCCTAGCTGTAAGAAACCCTGCATTGAAGGGACCCACTGATAAATGATATTTGTATACATAACAGAGCATATATAATGTTTCCCAGAACTAGGGCTCCTGTGTCCTGAAGCCACGTCACACCTAGGTGCCCACACACCGGTGACGAACTTGTACTGGTGGAACATCCTCTAGCCAACGTTCTCCTGCAAGAGGAGGGGCCGGCAGCTACTTGCTGTGGATATTACTCTATGTAAATAAAACACTGATGGCCAGTGACCAGGCAGGAAGTATAGGCGGGACAAAGAGAGAGAATTGGGGAAACAGGAAGAAGGGGGGAGAGACACTGCAGCCACCTCCAGGAGAAGAGCATGTAAAGAAGCCGGTAAGCCACCAGCCACGTGGCAAGCTATAGATTTATAAAAATGGGTTAATTTAAGATATAAGAACAGTTAACAAGAAGCCTGCCACGGCCATACAGTTTATAAGTGATACAAGCGTCTGAGTGATTATTTTATAAGTGGATTGTGGGACTGCGGGGCTTGGGGAACCTGGAGAGAAGCTCTCCAGCTACAGCTACTGGGCTCTGGAGTTTGCTACTTGGTGCCATGGACACTTTAGATGAGGAGCTCACTTATTGACTCCCAAAGTAGTGCTAGGAAGCACGTGTCCTCACGGCAGATGTGGAAACCGGCCTCTAAAAGGAAGTAGCCCACACTCAAACCGCAAAGAAGTGGTTCGTCCAAGCAAATCTCAAACCCAGGTCCATCTACTCAGGGTCCCGGCTCTTACTTCACACTCTTGGGCAGACGTTGTGGTCAAGCGCAGGTCAAGGAGGCATCTGTTTTCCCTGAGGCCATCCTGTGCTCTGGCTAGGATCCCCCCAAGGCCACACCTCTGCAGCTGTCTCCTGGCTAATCCCCGGGTTTGGCTGGGAAGCTCAGAAAACAGAGGAATGCCCCTTATTGGCTCACCGAAGACATTCTGAACAGAGCATCTGTCCCTCTGCTGCGGAGAAGGTTGCAGAGATCAACTTGCTCCCCGCAGCTGTTGCCTCTCCGTCTTACGTGAAATAGCCAGGCTGGCATTGCTCAGGACCAGCAGGAGTTGGGTTGGAAGGGCAAACGGAGAGCATCTCTCCAGCCAGAGTGACAGCCCACCCCACCCCTCCTGTCAAATGGTAACACTGTGAGAATGGTCAGGGAGGACCAGGGCCAGCCAGCCATGAGGGAACAAAGTGGGGGGGGGGGTCCTTATTGTCCCTACAGGCATGGCAACCAGCCCAGATGCCTCACAGCCCACACCAGAGAGTAATCTCCCTACCTGACTCCCAGGGTAAGCCCCAACTGAACTCCATCTGACCCTGGCAAAGGGGGGTGGGGGGTGAAGGGTGGGGGGTGGGGGTGGGGGGTTGTCTAACTTCAGGAAAAATCACCTTTGTCAGCTCTGCAAATCTGGAGGAAGGAGGCAGAGGCGGGGCCTCTCCATCCTCCATGAAGGTGAGCTTGTAGCGACCTCCTCTTCCTCCTGAGCTACCCTGTCCTCAACTCCACGGTCCTCTTTTTCCCCAAATCTCACCCAGTGGGGCCCAGGCCAGGGGAGGAAGGGAGGAGGGGGGAGGCTGCCGGGGGCTTAGAGCCAACTTGAGCTGAGGAGGCCGGGAGGGTTCCTCCCTGACCTCGCCTGTACTTCCTTCCTGCTTCCCTTTCCTTTGGGCCTTCTCCCCTGTGAATCATTCAGGCTGCAGACGTGAACTCTGCTGCACAGTTCTTTCACATGTGGGCTCTCACCCCGCGGTCTGGCTCCGCGAGGGATGAACCGCCGCCATTCCCATATCCACAGCCATGGGCTGAGCGGAGGGAAAGCTGGCAAACAGCGCTGGGTTTCTGAAAACAAGATAGGAAGCCGGGCTTCATGGTCCCTGCCTGCCATCCCAGCTCTCGGGAGGAAGATTGAGAGTTCAAAGCCAGCCTGCCGGCAATGCCAGCACTGTGTGGGGTTGGGGGAGGGGGCAGGTGGGTCTCTGAGTTCCAAGCCAGCCTGGTCTACGAGCAAGTTCCAGGCCAACCAAAGCTACATAGGGAGACCCCCGCTACAGAGAGGGAGGGCAGATAAACAGAGACAGAGGAAGAAGAGTTCAAGGTCATCTTGGGCTACAGAGTGAGTTGGAGGCCAGCCTGAGCTGCATGAAATGCAGCCTCAAAAAACAGACAATACAACAAAGCAGAACAAAAGATAGCTGAGCTGCAAGGAAAAACACCATTTCTCAGAAGTTCCTCAATGCTCCCCCCCATCCCACAAAGCACCTTACTGTTGTTGTTGCTGTTTACATGTTGGGGATCAAATCCAGGACAAGAGGTCCACCATATCCCCAATCCCTCCAAGTGCTTTAAAGAGCAACGGCTGAGGAATGCATCCCTCAGACTGGAAAAGGGGTGCCCAGTGAGGGCCTACATCTCGGGAGAACCCTGTGGCTCAAGGACACCCTGTCCCCAACCGCCCACTGCCACACGTCTGTGTCTGTGTCTGCCTCTCTCTCCTGGCCAGGAGCAAGGCAGACAGATGCAAGCGGCCTGGCTCTACCCTGCCCCTCCTAGCTGCATCCTCTCAGCTGCTCCTCCTTCCTGCCCCCTCCTCTCCAGCACACCAGCCCTCTCAAGGTCATCTCCAGCCTGGCCAGCAGACTCCATGTCTCCAGCAGCTCCCAGGTCCCCTTCAGTGCTGTGGCCTGAAGAATTTCCCTGTGGAGGGGGGGGGGGCTGTGTGTCCCCATGTGTCCCTTCTTCCAGTGATCAAAGCTGAGGACTGCCTGGCTACCACAATAATGCCCACGCTCAGACCCCCCTCACCCAGGTCTGGCCAGCCCTTCCAGCCTCCATCTGGTTTTGCAGCAAGCCTTCTTACCCGTCTCTAGCCTGTGTTGAAGAGGAAACAATCCAAACAACGCTCCTGCTTCTGACAACCCCGTGAAACAGTGCCTGAATGGCACCCCTCAGGGTTAAAACCCACAGCCCTGGAAGAGGGACCCTGCAGCCCAGCCCAGCCTCCTTAAGCCCAGCATACACAGAAGCAGTGATGTCTCTCTTGAAGAGCCGAAGAAATTCCTGTGTCCTGGGGATGGGCAATGAGGAAAA